ATTTCACAAAGAATCCAAAAATGCAATAATATACAGGATGTTCCATTTAAAATAGCAAAGTTGATATCCATTTCCGGTAGAAGCGGAAGTCCGCCATTACTGAAACTAATTTTACAATATGTACAATATGGTTCGATTCAACTTTTATCTGAAACATTTTTCGAAAAACTCAATCATAATTCGGCTATGGACCGAGGCAACTTAGGTGGACACCCTGTATATGCTTGTTGTCCAATTTATTTATTTTTTATAAATAATTTTGGAGTATATAAAAATAGTTAGTTGGTGTACGAGATTAACGGTTACAAAAGTTCCTGTGATTTTTTAGTTAATTCTAAGTAGAGCACTTTAAAGATCTGGTCTTATATGATCTTAGTGGTCTTTAAAACGGAAGATCTATGACATAACATTAGTGATGTTACGGATGTGAGTTTAGCTGATGCGGATGCGGAACCGGATTTTTTAATTCTAATTTTGTGGATGCGGAGTTATTGAAAAAAGTTACGTACTAAAATTTTTATGAAAATAATATTTCTATTGTAATTAATAGTAATTAGTAAATTATTAATTGGTAATTAGTAATTATTTATTGTAACGGAGCTCCGTTAAAATATCCTCAAAACAATGCGGATTATCCGCAGTTGCGGATGCGGATATCCGTTACATCACTAAATAACATATAATCGAAAGTGTGAACAGACAATTTTAATTTTATAATCAGAGGAAGTCGACAACAACAATAATAATATTTGGTTGGGCGCCAAGGCGGACGTGTTTAGATTATTTAAACAATCCCATTGTTCCATCAAACACAATGAAAATTATTTTATAAAATATGTCGACAAACTCTTTTAATAATTTATATATTTTCCTATTACAAGATTAAATCGGAAACAGATAATAAAAGTTATATAGAAAACCGCAGTAAGAAGCTTTCTATTTGTTTTTTAAAAATTTGAAAAATAATCATTTTTATGGTGATTTTAATTCAAAATTAATTACAACTACGTTGAAATCCGATTAATAGAGATATTATCCAAAAATTGTTAACGGTATTTCTCTATTATTAAATATTTCAACACCTGAACTGTATTGGATTCGAAATTAACTTACAGTGTTGAAACATATTTAATAGTTTTAACGGTTCTCTGAAATCGAATTTCACTTCAATAGCTTAACTATTTAGTTAAGCTATTTAGATTACTTTGATACATTACATTTCTATGGAATAAAGAAAATTATTCAATCGGGTGTGCCATTATCAGAGACTATGAGTTGTTTTATCACTTCCAATTCTTGCATACCATAACAGCCTGTGTACTTTAAATAATATGCGAGAAAGTAAAAAATATCAGCACATCTTAAAACCAGTCCAAAAATCATTAAATCTTTTTACCCAAAACACCTGCACGCAGGTTTTTAACTGCGCGTTCGTCAACCGAGTTTTCTTTCTTATCTTTTTCTATATCGTGCCAGCTGTTCACTTCGAAACGAACACTTTTGTAGCCCCCTCTTTTTACACGCGTTTCTAACGTTATCCTTCCCTGACAACTGACATTACTCACCAAAGGAATAGTCGATTAAATAACAGTGGGCGAAAGTGCATAAGCTGGTAAGTTTCAGTATTATATGCACTATCTTCGTCTCCCCCTCCAAAAATGCATTCTTTTGACCATTATATGAAGGGTGTAAACTATCATTAATTTTATTCGTACCTACAAACTTATATCAAAGGATATTAGAATGAAAATATTTATTACGAATGAGAATTGTATATTTTTTTAAACGCAAGAGAAGCTGATAATATTGTTTAATTGCAACGGCCTTTATCTGAGTTCCTTTGTGTCACAGAACAATATCACCTCTTCACGACGACGACGACGTCTTATCGTTTTCTCGTAGACCTCGAGGGTCAAGAATTTTTACAGCGTTTATGCGGGTTTCAGTAAACAATCTTCTTGTAGATAATAATTGAAATCAAAAATAAACGAAAGAATAACTCCTAGAAGAAGATGATTGTTAATTGTTAGCGTAGAGTTGCAAATCTTTTCTAAAAATTTGATCGCCGATGGTAATCTAGAGTGGTATAAATCAAAAACAAGATCTGGTATAAATGTTTAATCAGCAAGTACTTCGTATGGTTATAGTAGCGGGTATACTATTAACGATGTAATTAAAGGTTGTTTATAAGTTGATAATAAGGTGGTATTTCGTAGAAGAGACATGTATCCGATTTGAGTGGTTTTAGTATCCTGTAATTTATCAAACCACTTGGTTAAGGGATATTCCATAAATATTACGTAATTATTTTAGAATCGTTTCTAAAAATTATCTTATTTAAAATTTTTTTTTATATTCAACCGGCTTCCAGCAGAGCCTTAATTTCTTTCTTCAATATTGATTGTGAAGGTGTGTTGATAATGACCAATAACTTGTACCTTTCACCTCTAAAGTAAAAAAAAGCGATAGTAATACGATGGAATGTACTCACAGCCTATCTCTTTGCTGATCTGTGGTTACGTGCCTACGAGTAGCTGCAGGAAAAACTAGCTCCTTTAATGAGCGATAACACATCGGCCGCTTTGTAACACGTTCCGACAGGAGCGCTTGAAGAAATTGCGTAAGATTACTATTAATTTAGTGAATTTTTATTTTTTAACAACTTTTTAATATAAATATGAAACATCTGTTTTCAGTTATACTCAGGATAACGTTTGGATTCCCACATTTTGCCATTTTTTGTTTTGTATTTCAAAAAGGTTTTTGATATGAGAGAGTTAACGACCGATGGCTCGGTATGAATGGTCGCCGGAACTTGAAGGTTGATTTAGAAAGTTGGGATTCTATGTGCATCGTTGAGGTATGTAAGATGAAGGCAAAATATGAATCAACGGTGTTAAATAGTTTATTCAAACCAAGTTTTTCGGTACGACAGCTGTTTCGGCAATTTAATTACCTTCCTCAGGCACGACGTCAATGAGGTTTAGTACTTGAGACAAATTACTTTGAAGCATAATATAGACACCAAACGTATTCGGGAGAAAATTTGTTTTAAATAAAAAAAATTGATATACAGGGTGTCTCAGCGAGACCGGTCATTAGACGTTTCTGGGGTTCTGGCAAAAATAAAAATTTGAGAATTCAGACTTAAATATTATCAATTACGATCTCTTCGTCTAAAATATTTTCAGATTTCTTGCACTTCCGGTTATACCGGAAGTCGCCACCAACTTTATTTTTTTAAATGAAACACCCTGTATATTTTTACATATTTGGATTTGTTTGTTTTCAAGGTTTATAAATAACTTTACTTTTTGCAATTTGATTCGGTCGTTCTCGAGTTATTCGAATTTTTATAGAAAAATCTGCTCCAGCAGACATTTGTTCAAAAAATCAGAAAACACTCAATTTTTGGGATATCAATTTAGGATTGAGAACATGCTTAAACAACATGATGGAATATGTTTTGGTGCCGAGAACTGTGGTCTAGAACGTTTGATCACTTTACTATGGCAAGTTAACTTTTCAAAATTTGGAAGTACCATAACTTCATTTTTTAAATGGCACCCCCCATATTTTATTTTTTAGTCGTCTTCCGTGTCTCATTCTACATCTTTTATATCCCATATGGCCCATACCTAATATTAATAGTTTGGGAGATAATTACGGTTTTTTGAAAATGCACACATATCATATGGATATTTAGCCTAGTGTGCCATGAAAAACAAGCCTTCTCAATGAGTTCTTGTCAAAGGCTCACTTGTTTACGTCACTTGATGCATGTGAGCTAATAATTATCTGTTATGTCCCTTAATATTAGTACTGAAACGAGTTAAAATCGATAACAATAACGAAAGTAATATTTACACAAATCAAGAAATTCTTAATTTATTTTTTATGCATGAAAAGCGCGACAAAGTTCGTAGTATGGTTCCCAGATCTTCTTTGGCAGCTCGAATTGAGGTGTTGGGACTGGGCTCGAAATAAGCCAAGGTATTCACCTCTTCCGTTGCATTATCTACTACATTTTTTGGTCAGTTTAACACGTGATTAATTCGTCCAAAATGCAAAAAATT